ACTCACCAGGAGGCCGGAGGCAAGCCCAAAACTAGGTCCTTCTTTAAGTAAGCGATATCATTGCGCGAGCGCTGCTGCTTGCTTCGTCCCTTCAAATCTATCGGACCTGTGAAAGTCTCGTAAGACTATAGGGATTCGTTTCACTATGTTACACTCATTTCGTTTCTCCTCTTAGCCCTTGTTGCTTCCCGAGCTGTTATCCCCTTAACGCTATATCTATCTTCATTCTTTTTTATATCATTGGATGCCTTAACTAAGACCTACTTAAATAGTTCCTCGTGCATTATGAAGTCAGACTAGGGAAGCGCAGACAAAGAGGAATACTTTCAGTTAGGATCAGTTAGGATGAAGGAGGCAGATAATTCACTGGCTTTCTAATCATAAACCAAAGTTTAGCTTCTTTTTGGCCAGCAAGAGAGATTATGGAACTCAAGCCGTTCAACTTACACACACATAGACAAACCAGCCAAACAACATTACAAAGTGAACAACGGAAGCATTGAAGACTACTAGTGATACATGCAAACACAACAAAGACACTTAGCATATTAGCATAGGAGTAGATCTCCACCAAACAAAGAAAAAGAAGAAACACACTTCTACAGACACTTATTTAAACCTTATTATATTATAGACTATAGACGGACTCTTTCTCCCAGGCGACCGAGTGCTCCATGAACAATGAGCGTTTGCTGCTCCGCCCGCAGCGTCCTCCAAACCCTCTATGCGCTCTCTGGTAGCGCGAATGCGCGCTTCTTTCCTTGCAGGATCCTTCTCAAAAACACTCTATGGTGCTGTTTAATTTCATTTTGGAGTTGCCCCATTTCGGCAGCAATTGCAGAAAGCCTGTTTGCAGCATCCATAGCTATACGTGCTATTACGAAATTTCTTTGGTTTGAATTTGATGAAGAAGACACTTATCGAGCCTCCATTTATAGAATTTATAGAGTGGTAGAGTAATATCGCCATGCAGTACGAATTGCATGGCTGGCACAATTCTGACTACTATAACCACGCTGCCTGTATGATTTCAAACTTTGCAGAACCGTTTCACCTAATCGATCGAGCAATGGATTCGGCGGATCATCCAAATTGGATGGCAGGCCTAATTCTTACTAGTTCTCCGCACGATCATGCCTTTTTCATGAAAACCTGGCTGGCTCTGGCTACCTTGCGGAGCACACATAATATACCCGAATAACATTGTAACAAACTTTGTACAACCTGCTTACGTAGAAAAGATTCCAATGGACTCGTGACATCCATGTACTGAGTCGTCAAATGAGCCAAGCCCAAGTTATACGCATTGGCCCACAAGGTGCCCCAAGAGGGAAGACCCAAGCCTACATGAACCATCAAAGAAAGACATATCGATGGGGTTTTGCTTGTTGCCTGAATGAAAATGCGTCTATTTCTTTCAGACCAAATCAAAATAAAGATGTAGGCTTAACTAAAGCCCAATGCCAAGCAAAGCCCTTTTAGGATACGGTGGATAAGATCACATCTTCATAACAAACAAAAGGTGTACACGTTCGGCCTCACTCAAGGTAATGGGCCAAACCTAACGAGTCCAAACAAATTGGATCTTATTGTATGAAGATTGGCTATCTAATTTCCTCAAGCAATAGGGTTGGAAATCCCATGTGATTGGCCCCAACCATTGGATGCCATATTCTCCCAAAGGCATTACCATGAAATCAGTGGTCAATTCTAAACCCAGTGCTCAACCCTTTGCACCAAGCATTGACTTCCAGTAAATCTCCATTAGCCACAGCCACTTTGTCTGTTGGAGTCTGCACCCTACCTATTTTTGCAACACTGCAATCAATGAAATCTTCACTTCATCCTTCGTAGTGCTTGCGAGATGGACTCTTTCATCGGAGGGAATCCTACTTCACCTACCTTTGGAACTCAGATCTCAAGAGAATGACCGGACTACCGGTCAGTGCTGCTAGACCTCTAAGCAAGTGTTGCTATACTTTCCTGTTCAACTTTCTAGTGCGTCTATCTAAGGATAGATCTCGGTATCTGTGGAGAGGAAAAGAATGAATCCTACTAATGCGTCAAACATTTATCTGTATTCCCCTTTCTTTATATTTCTTTATAGGTCTCCTATTGAACGAAATGCAAAAACCAAACTTGTCAATAAA